CCCCGCGGCCCGGGGCCCGGGGCCCGCACGCGGCCGGGCGGGCAGCCATGAGCGGCGCGCCGCCCAAGGAGCACCCGGACCCGCTTAAGGAGACGCCGCGGTATGTCAAAATCGCGGACCTCTCCAGCGGATCCTTCGGGTTTGTGCAGCTGGCGCGCAACACAGAGACCAATGAGCTTGTGGCCATCAAGTTTATAGAGAGGGGCGACAGGTGGGTGCCTCGGGGGCCGGCTGGGGGGCCGGCAAGGCGGGGGCCGCGCGCGCGCGCCAGCGGAGGAGCGCGCAGCTACGCGTGGTGGCTGTGAGCGTCGCCAGTGCCGGCCGGGCGGCTCTGTTCCGAGGCAGGCGGAGGGGCAACCCAGCCGCGGCAACGGAGTCCGCAGCGGCAGCGGCGGCGGCGGCGGCAGCGGCGGCGGCAGGGGCATGCACCAGACTGCAGCAGCAACGGCACCGCGGCGCATAGCGAGCTCCGCAGGCATCCTGCGGGCACGAGCGCTCGGGAAACAGCAGCAGCAGCCGCAGGCCGGCGGCGGGCGCAGGCAGCTGCTTGGCCTTGAGTCTTCGAACTTTTTGCATCCGCCTCAAGAGTGCCTTGCTGATCTGTGCTTTCGCCATCCTATCCAGGGTGAATCGGTACGTGGAGGCGGAGATCCTCAACCACCGGTCGCTGCGGCACCCTCACGTCATCGAGTTCAAGGAGGTGGGGCCCCCCAGATCACAGATCACACGAGGACAGATTACGACGTCTCGCAAGTGCTTGAGCCGCGGCCGCCAGCGGTTGCCGCCCCGCAGCCTGGCGCGGCAGCGCACGAACGCGCCACCGCCCCCTGCGAGGCACGTCGCCCCCACGCCTCGGAACGCAGCGACGAACGCGCGCGAACCTCGGAACGGCCGACCGCGTCGCCTTACCTCGGCCCCACTGCCAGGTGTTTGTGACGAGCGAGTACATCTGCATCGCCATGGAGTTTGCGAGCGGGGGGTCGCTCTTCACGTACGTGCAGCGGGCGGTGCGGCTAAAGGAGGCGGCGGCGCGTTGGTTCTTCCAGCAGCTGATCATAGGGTGGGTGCAGCAGGCGGAGGGGCAGGATGGGGTTACGATCAGGTGGTTGAATTGTTGTCCCACTGGTTGAGTTGCCTGCTTCTAGGGCGTCCAGAATCTCAGGATTGAGCTGTTCAGCACTGCTGGTTGTTTGTTGGGGGAGGAGGGGGGCGAGGCAAAGGGAGTGCCGCAGCCTGCAGGGGCACGCGCCCGCACAGCAGCGGCCCCGCCTGCACGGGCGGCGTGGTTTGAGGCGGGGG